TCGAACCGCAGTCAACTACATGGGAGTCCAGCAACATAGCCATGATGCTAACTGCTGGTCCCTTGAATGAGTGTTTCTTAAGAAGTGAGAAGCAGCCAGCTGCTACGGTGGCTAGGAGCAGCTATCCCCATGGGCTTTCCTGCGCGCCGTCACCAGCATGGTTCCTGTCTGCCGGCCTCACAGGCGACCTGCTTATTGGTTCACAATGGACACCCAACATCTCTAATAACTTTCCATGTATTTATGGCCATTTGGATTTGCTCTTCTGGGAACGGCCTGTCATATCTTTTGCCTATTTTTCCACCGGATTCTTTCTTTTTTTTAGTTTGCCTTTGGGGCATGGTCACACCACAATCCTTCGCCGCCTCCATTTCTCCCTCCTTTCAGGATGTTAGGCATGTACAAACATGGGTCTGGCATGTTGTTCAAGCCGCCAGGTTCAGGACTGGAACTGTAGGATCAGGCACGCAGGAACCACCAAGCCATGGGCTGGCAGTTTAAAAATCAGCCTGTAGCCATTCTTCTTATATTAGATCTAAATATTTTGTCACAAATATTTTCCCTTTTAACTGATTGCAGCACTTTGGGTCAAACAAAGTATTTTGCCAGTATCTGGGTATGGCATAGACCTGCGAGGGTGACACAAGAGTGGGCTCTGCCCGCAGAGATACCCTCCTTGCATCCCGCTGCCCCTGCTCGGGGTCTGTGGGAATGAGAGTGACTAAGAGCCCTCCGTGGTGGAGCTGCTGCTTGCTGCCCTCCAGCACACTGCGCCCACCCTTCTACTGCCATTGCTGCTTCGTCTGCTTCCCCTGTGAGTGGGTGAGCACCCCTAGGCAGGGCCTGTGCCCGCTCCCTCCTGCTCAAGGTGGGCCCTCAGTTCTTGCAAATGTACCTGGTCAATCTCAGACACATTTCTAGAAAACAGTATTTTTTTATTTTTAAAGAAATGGTACAATCAGTGCAGGCTTTGTCATTGTAAACGACTCAGGACTGAAAAGCACAGCTTGTGAAACTATTGGTTCCTCCTCTACACCCTCCCCCGCTCCAGTCACATCTCCCCAAGTCAACAGTTTGGTGTGTATTCTTCAAGACCAATATGAGTTTGGGTGCATGGTTTTGTAACCTGTATTATTTTATGATCATTTCTTTAAGATATTTGGTAGATATTGGGACCAGCAGTTAGCATAATGGCTATGTCACTGAACTCCCATGTAGTCGACTGCAGTTTGAGTCTCAGACCCAGTGGTTTAAACTCACACCGGGCACATGTGCATGAATGCCCAAGATCCCAAGAGGAGAATGGAGGAGAAGGGATTGCGGCGTGGCCATCCCTCCTGGGGGGTGATTTCTTGCTTTCTGTCTCTATGTCTCTCTTTGTCTCTCTGGTGAGCGCACACGCCCTATAGCAAAAACCTCTCAAAAAAAAAAAAAAAGATATTTGGTAGATTTTATACCTAACTCATCCTTTCTGATGGCGATGTAGGTAGTCCATAGTTTAGATGTAACAAATTCAGCCATCCCTATCTACCGTCATTTAAATCGATTCCTTTTTTTTCAATAAGTCCCTGAAAGAATTAGTAAGAACATCTAACTGCATAAGTATTTTTTTATTCTTAGAAAAGATAAAATATATATTATATATATATATATTATGTATATAATGGAAATGAGATATTAGAAAAAATGACAGCAAAACCAAAAATTTAGCACAATATAATGTAAAATGTTAAGTAAATAAAGAACAAAAATTTTATCTATAACATCAGGTAAAATGTAGAAAACGGGGTATATATTGGACGATGATTAGCAGGTACCTCCTACAATGAAGTGAGTTCACAAGGTACTAGGTTTTAAGCACATTTTTCTCGAAAGTGCTCTGATGTTCATACCATTTAACACTAAAAGAAACAGTAGAAACAAATAGAGTAGACCCGGTGTTTCAGGATCTAGAGTGTCTTTAAAAGAACACACTTTTCTATCTCCTGAGTAGCGTTTCTTTAATAAGAAGCATGTCTGACGTGAATGAGCAGATCCTGTTAGAAAGGAAGGAACCCAAGTTACCTTTGAGCCATAGTGTCAGGACATGGTCAACTGTCAACCCTTCAGTCCAGCACTCTGAGGACCAAGCCAAAGAGCTTGAGCAGGCTGGGCCACGGTGGCAGCAGAGCCACTATGGTGTCTGCTGAGCAGGGGTGGGTGACTCACACCAGCAGGCAGGGCTCAGGGACACCAACTACATCTGAACTGGAAAAACTCCAACTTTGCAAACTGTGTTGTTCCTCTGGGACCTTGCACTAGATTAAAGGTTCTAATGTTTTATTTTACTTTATTTATTTCAAAGTTTACTTGGAAAGAAAGACAGACAGACAGTCAGATAGGTACCTTTGACAAGTCTTGCTATACCTTGATCTCCTCTCGGCCTTCCAGCCAGCCAGGATCACTGGAGTGGCCGCAGTGTACCTGGGTGTCGTGTGTGCAGGTGGACCAAGGATCCCAACCTCGGCCCTCCTATATGGCTTCAGTATGGTGTAGCAGCACCCTACCACCTGTACCACCATGGCTGAGTTTTTTTGTTGTTGTTGTGTTTTTTTGTTTTTTGGGTTTTTTTTTTAGAGGTTTTTGCTATAGGGCATGCGCACTCACCAGAAACACAGAGAGAGAGACAGAGAGACAGAAAGTGAGAAATCATCCCCCAGGGGGGATAGCCACACTGCAATCCCTTCTCCTCCATTCTCCTCTTGGGATCTTGGGCATGTGCGCACACGTGCCCAGCATGAGTTTAAGCCACCGGGTCCAAGACTTGAACCGCAGTTGACTACATGGGAGTTCAGAGACAGCCATTATACCAACTGCTGGTCCCAACCATGGCTGAGCTTTTTTCCCCTACTAAGTTAACTAGCCATTGTTTTGGTTGGATGGACAATGACAACTTGGAAACTGTTAGATGGCATAAAGAACTCAGTAACAAGGATTCCTGACAGAAAACCACGAGTGGGCCCTCTAACGTTGATATTAGTAAGTGCAGAGAAACCTATACATCTCGAGCCTTTTCCTTGAAGTATGTGTCAACCACAATGGGAAAAATTGACTTCCCAGTGGAGAAACCCATAGCCACTGCCTTAAACAGCGACCAGAGGTTCATCCACACCATGATTCTGTCACATGGAAACAGACACAACACTTCTTCTGAGGTATTTTTGCCGTAAATGCAAAACCTCAATATATCTATCAACTGGGTTCTGAGCACTGTTCTGTGGAGATGGAAGGTGTCACACCAAGTAGGGGACCTGACAGTGGTGCAGCAGAAAAATAACACTCTATAAGGATGACCCACATATAAGAGTTCTTGGCTTAGGTCCAGAGACCTCCCTGAGTGCATGTGGGCCAGGCACATGTGGGCCCGTGATCCAGGGCTTGCTGGGGTGCAAGTGGAGGTGGTGGGAGATTGCGGCATCAAGATCCTGTTGGGGGTGCTGTTTCTTTTTCACACTCACAGACTAAATAGGCTAAACTAAAATAAAGGAAGGAAGCTGGGTGGGAATATAGAGAAACTCTACACTATTTTTATAACTTTCCTATAAATCTAAAATTAGTTGGATTAAATTTTTTTAAAAAAGAAAAGACCCCTGAACTTTCTGAGCAGTCCATGACTTCAGAACAGCATAGGCCGCTCACCCTGCTCTGGGGTAAAGGCTAAGGTGACTTCCAGGGCAGCCTTGGAGGTCTTCCCCAGCTAAGGGGGCTGCAGAGGCAATGCCCTGGCTGTCTAGAGTCGCTTACAGGGGACATTTCTTTTCTTTTCTTTTCTTTTTTTTTTTTTTTAAAGAATTCTTTTATTTAACTTTATTTATTTATTTAAATTTGACCAAAGAGAGAGAGAAAGCAAGCCACCAGGTCTGAGAGTTGAACCATGGTTGGCCATGTGGGGGTCCAGCGCCCTTAACCATCAGGCACCTGCTGGCCGCCAGAGAACATTTCTTAAAAGAAAGAATTGAAGAAACATCTATGACTAAGTTAAAAAGCACACATGCCAGACTACTCAGAGTGCAGAAAAGAAATACAGGCACGTGCTGGAGGGAGGAGCAGCCATTACCCTTCGGCCTGCACCCACAGCCCTGTGCCCACTGGACTAGGACTCCCGAATGGTTTGGAGGAGGAAATGAGAAGAGGGTACTGTACTCAGGGCACTCTGTTACGCAGCTTAAGAGCTGGCGATCCCAATGTCAGGGACAAGACACTGAGGCCACCATTTCTTGGCATTTGAGGTGACTGGCTTCTCTGAGGGGGAGAAGTTACAGAAAGATACCTACAGGGCACATCTGAAGCTCAGTTTTTATGTTTTCAATATTTCCCCTCATTTCCTCTCTCTCCTTCCCCCTCTTCCTTCTTTAATTTTTATTTTTTACTCATGATATAGAACACATGTATGTATACATGCTCATTCATGAGAGAAAAAAATAAAGGGGAGAGAGAGAGAGAGAGAGAGAGAGAGAGAGACGCACCCTCAACAGGGTCTAGTAGCACTGCACTGCCCCCAACCCCAACCCCTAGCTTGCCAAAACCTTGGGTTCGTGTGCACAAACCTACTGCATTTCAGATGGACAGGGCTGAGGATCTGAACCTATGGTCAGCCTGTGGCCTCCAGCACAACAGTCCAGGACGGACTGTGCCACCTAGGTTGGGCCTCCTTCCTCTTTGAGCACGTAATTCCTCAGACAGAAATGACAAGTCAGAGAGCCAAGAGCAAAGCACTCAAAGACATGAGCCTTCCTGCAAGGGAGTGGATATATGGTTCTGGACCCCAGTCTGGGGCTTGCAGGGAGGACACTTACTATCTAGGTCTGTTCTTCACCATGAATGGGGACACGTGTGGCACTTACCCGTCTTTCAGGACTGAACCAGGTGATGCATGCAAGCACAACCCCAATAAGTACAAATGGCCAGGGCCAGTGCACTCCCCCTGCCTCCAGCCGTTCCCCGCCTATCACGCATCTCACCATGTTCCTTGGTCGAGGCTGGAGTTTGTTGAGCTCTTCCGTTTTCTTCCTCATCATCTGGGCTTGCTCTCTCCACTCCTGCAGTACTCTTTTATCTCTGGAGTAAATACATTTTAATATTAATGTCAAAAGTTAGAAGCTGCTGCAAGCAAAGTTTCTAAGAATGTCTATCATTTAAGAAGTGTATTTATTCATTCTGTGAGTGAGAAAGACAGACAGAGAAAGCAAGCACCCCTAACAGAGTCTCAATGCTGCAATCCACCCCCAGCCTCAGCCAGCAAGGTCATGGGCACACACGTGCCTGAACACTCAGGGAGGTCTTAGGCTGGGAACTGTCAATTTTCCTGTCTGGTCTGCCTGGAAGAGGCTGTGCCGCTGTCACTTTTAAAGCTTCAAACAAGTAAGTCTTTTCTTCTGTCCTTCCAGCTCCAGAGAGGAAACCCTGGCCAGGGCATGCATTTATTCCAGGTGGGATTTTGAAACTCAGCATTTTTTTTTTCTTCCCACACATTTCGGCAGCACTAGAAATGTCTGATTCTGTCCTGAGGCTGTGCTGTGTGTGAGTGCCGTCAGCAGCAATTGATGTCTGGGGTTGGGGGCAAGCTGGGCTCCTCCT